AAAGTATGATAAAAGCAAAACAAAAAATAATTCACAAAAATTATCATAAAAACAATGTAAAAATGAAAAACAATAAATCATAAACGTAATGTAATATATATGTATAATTAATGTATGTATTAATCAAAATATATATAAAAGTATTTTACCTACTGAAATTATGAATTATAAAAATAGAAATAATTTTAAAAATTGCTATCTAAATGTGATCCAATTTAATTATGTAAATAAAATTTAAAATAATGTTCGAAGGACCGAATTAGATTTAAATTGAAAAAAAACAAAAAAAACAATTAATTAAAATGAATTAATTGAAACAATGAAATTAATTGAATCAAAGTTATAATTATTTATAATTCGGCTCAAAGTGATCAAAATGTTTAGGATTAAACTTGAGAGGTCGCTGGTTAAATTATATCAGATAAATAATTATAACGAAAAATGCAATATTGGTTGGTACATAAAATTAGCGAAAATAGCAACTATAAATTATGAATAAGTTATGAAATCAACTGGTTTACTCATTATCAATGTTTTGTACAAAGAATTATAAGGCTTACCCCTTCGTTCTACTGATGAGTTCGTACCAGGCTGAAGAGTTGGTCGGTGGTACCGACGCTAGCGTCGCCGTCGCCCGAGGCTCAGCACGAGGACCGTCCGGAACTAGATGCGTGTCGATCGATCGTTGTCTGACGAAGAAGTGCGAATCTTGAGGATTTGAGAGCGTTTCGGGCACAAACCACCCTCTGGTTGGATGGTCAACATCTCATAGGTCGGGCATGCCATAAATCAACCGCTTGTTTCGATCTTTGTATTTGAATCTTTATCTTGAATACAAAGGAAAAAGCCAAATTTTCCGTATTCACACCATCATAAATGAGATATCCAGTTTAAGTTTTATGAGACAACAGGAAACAATATATTTCAAAAAGGTCTTTAAAATACAGCACTAAATTAGATCACATTACAGTACCGTAACAGAAAAAATATAAACTGTAAAATTATGAAATGAATTCTCACATACTTTCCCAAACATTTTAATTTTTGAATGGCCATCAACTGCTATATATGTGTTGGTCATTACGTCATCAGTGTCGGCGTAATGACGTAACCGACGATTTTTATAAATACAAACCGAGGTCACGCGATAGCTTATTTGAAAGAGCCTTATCGCCTTTGCAACGATATAATCATTTGAATATTTATTTTTACATGGCTAACTAAAACTGGAATAATAAGAAATACAATTCAGGAATAATACAATGTGAAATATAGGCAATAAATTATTTCCTAACGTTTTTGATGACTTCAGGTGTTATTTGTGCAATTACTGTTCTGATGCGCTCCGTCAAATCTTCTACGATTTGAAGGTCGACTTGGATACACTCTGCTCTTTAAATATCCCACAATAAAAGTGTAACGGAGTCAAATCTAGAGACCTTGGTGGCCATTCGATGGGGCCCTTTTACCTATCCATCTACCTGGGAAAACGTTACTAAGGTAATTTCGTACCTCAATATAGTGTAAGGGAGTCTTATCATGTTGGTACCACAAATCATTTCTATTTGGAAATAGTTGATTGTTTCTAATGCAGGCCCAAACATTCACCTTCTCGGGATATTGTGTCCCATACTCTTCCATCCAATGTAGATTTTCACTTGCTCAGTATCGATATGTCTGGCGATTTACGTGACCGTTCAGCATAAAAGACGCTTCATCAGAAAAATGTACCTTTTGTATGAAACCCTGATCGCTGTTACATTTTTTCATAACGGTTTCGCAGAATTCGATTTTTCTATCAAAGTCATCTTCTAATAGCTCCTGGAGCAAATGTACTTTGTATGGATGCCACTTCCCCTTTTTTAGCACTCTTACAACAGTTAATTGGTGGACATTATTATCTAGTGTGACCTGCCTAGAACTGGTATGAGAATTTTCTTAAAACGCCAGTACAACGTCCAGTTTCTTGGCTTCGGATATTGATTTTCTACTACTTCTGGGAAGATCTTTAACATGACCCGTTTCTTTAATTTTTTTTTCAATTTTACTTGCTATTAATTCAATAATTGGTTCGCGATTGAGGTATTTAGCATTAAGTAAATTACGAACTTCTGCTTGAGTCCCTATTCTATCTCCATAACCAATCATAATTAAAATCTCGATTCGTTATGTTTTTGTTAGTTTTATTTTTGTAAATGCAGTTATTGATGTCGGCAAAAAAAACTCCAATAGTAAAAATTTGCCGTCTATTATTTGACAGATTCACAGATCATTCACAAATAAACACGAGACTAATGGTTTCTGCCCTTCAGGGACGATTTTTAAAAAATAATTATTTACTTTACAAATGAGAGAACTTTATTACAATATTAAAATCAGACTTCGCAGTACAAAGATTCAAATCAGACTGAATTATAATTAATAAAATGAAATACATTACACATTGGAAAAATAAAACAATAATTCACAAGTTGCACTTTTACATTCAGGTCGATCATAGTTCAGGTGCTGACGCATCGGATTTAGGGTATTGGTTTATGGGGTCAACGACTATAACTCGAGTCAATTGCAATATTGATTTAAATATTTTTGAAAAATAACTTGGAATACTTACTACAATAATTAATTACAGATTATAATGTAGCGTTGTTATCGATGTATTTTTTATGGTATTTTTTTTTTCGGAACCAACAAAAAAAAATCATTTTGTTTTATTCTGTTAAATAAAATTGAATTTACAAATTTCTATACTCTTCAATTTAACCATGGAAAAGTTGTTAGGAGCTTCAGCACAGCAAATGCAGGGAATAAATTAAGCGAACGAAAAAAATCTAAATAACCTGTTACACATACAACGCAATATTTTAATTTGAGACAAAAATCGTGTACAAAAAATATTCCGAAGATTTAACATAAGAGAAGGAGAATTTAATATGACGATCTCAACTCAAAAACCCAAAATAATAGTAATCAGTAGACAAACAACCATATTTAATTGTCATGGAGACCCGGAAAGAAAATAAGGAGATTAGGTACAAAAAGTAAGTATACTGGCAAGATACTTACGCTGCATAGCAGCTATAATACCAACGCTGAGATATATTCAAGAATTTATAAAGCAAGTAAAATAGCATTACGAGTATAACGTAGATGTAAAAAAGGAGATCAAAATTAGTGGAAACAAGGAGCTCAAAGTGAGTGATAATCTTCCAAAGAGATCCATCAATAAAAAGGCATTTTGAACGAGAATTTTTTATTAACAAATGCTGATTTTAAACTGTTTTCTCTTATTCTTCCCAGTTCTTGGAACAGTTCTTCCCTCCTCAACTTATTTCATTAGAGACTATAAATTTGTAAACCCAAGTCAAAAATAGATCACTTGAGAAAGGCAAAGGCAAAACAAAACAGCTGTAGTGATAAGATTTAAAATAAATTTTGTGGAAGTTTATAGTATATATATATATATATATATATATATATATATATATATATATACATATACATATATATATATATATATATACACGCACACACACACACATATATATATATATATATATATATATATATATATATATATATATATGTGTGTGTGTGTGTGTGTGTGTGTATAGCGTTTAAGGCATCTTTTTTTAAACCAATTTTAAGTTTCAAACGCGTTCAGATATTTAAATTTCCTGCCAAAAATTTTGTAAAAACTACCATGATATAGGCAATAAAATATCCTACAAATTTAAAAAAGAATAAGTTTTAACTATAATTTAATAAGTAAATTAAATGAAGCAGAAATAATATTAACTATCGAAAGACGAAAACATATATATTCAAGACATACAGTAAGGAGGCAAAAATACTCGTTATTACAATTTATTATGCAAAGCAAAATTCGATAAAATTGGGATAAAAGGGAAAGAATTGGACAGAAGATTACCATCAATACTTTTAACTTTGAGCGAGTCAGAAAATTTAAGTATCTTGGAACAACACTAACTGAAGACAATAACGAATCACAAAAAATTAATAATATGATAACAAGACATACAAATACATAACTATATACAGTCATACGATCTATAATGATGTATGGTAGCAAAACGTGTACCATGACAAAGGCAAACAAAGAGCGATTACGTGTTTGGGAAAAAAATCCTAAGGAACATCTAAGATTTAACAAAAAGCTCGAAAAACGATATCCATATGCTAACATAATAAAAGAAATAAAGTTCAGAAGACTTTGTTGGGCAGTACATCTTAGAAGACATTCTCATAAAAGAACAGTATGGCTAGTATGGGCAATGACCCATCACGTGGATGAACTCGACTCCGGTGGGGAGATAATCTAGCAGAAGAACTTAAAGCTCTAAGCATGAAGAATTTGATGGGGATTGCTTACAACAGAGACGAATGGAAGCATGCTGTCAACTCGGCTAAAACTCACGAAAGGTTGTAACGCCACGGAGTAAGTAGCGTTGGTTTGTTTGGGCTAGCAGTGCATCCATTTGAGTTTTTCTACATTTGTTGTAATGTCCTTGACCATTATTTTTAATCTTAACTAGTCGTTCCTCTTTCTATCTTATAGGCGTATATCTAACAATGCCCTTTCTGTTATGGCTAGTTTATTCACATTTGCCTTTGCCTCGTTTGGGTGTAGGTTTGACATCCATATATATATATATATATATATATATATATATATATATATATATATATATATATATATATATATATATCATGATAAGAAGGATTGTCATTGAACGAATAGTCAGACTAAAGAAAGGATAAGCAATTGACAAAAATGCTGTTGGTCTAAAGAACACGTGGGGTTAAACAAAGTGTCGGGCGACCACCAGCGCAGCGGACTGACGACTCACGATAAAAACATCAGGACCGAACGTATCAACAGTAGACGTTTGACGCAGCATGATAAACGATTGGAATCCTTATAAAGCAAATAAAATACACACGTACTAATAAACAAAATAATATACTTTTCATTTTACCTGTTTTGCAGCCGCTTTCTGTCGGTAGAACTTGTAGAATTGTAAAAAATTTCTAACGTTCCAATAGCTAAACCTAAAAACATGTTATTGTTAAATACACAAGTTATTTTTATATTTTATATATTTGGCGCACGATACAACGAGTAGTTTTCAAAGATTGCGTGCTATGTCCTTTGTTGTTTAATATATATATATATATATATATATATATATATATATATATATATATATATATATATATATATATATATATATATTCAGGATACATTTTCGATATGAGTTTACAAGATACAGAAAACAGTTACGAGACAAAAATATTGCTAATAACGTGAACGGTCTTCAACTACTTCTAAATAAGGTAATTCACGAAGAATCATCACTGAGTTTTAAAAAGAGTGTAAAAACAAATGATAAAATTTCAGTTTTTCTCGGTCTCCAGCACATTCGCGATTTTAAAAAATTAGCTAAAGTAAAAAGTTTATTTTTATTGTGTTAAAATAATAATATTACGTATTATATTTGAAAGTTTATTGATTCAATGTAAAACAGCTTACTTATACTAAAACCATTCAACTAATTAACACCTAAGTAGATCAAACTAAGTAGAAATAGAATTATCGAGGCTTTGGCCAATCTTGTCAACGAATGCATCTACTAAGGAAAAACTCCTATTGAATAGAAAATTTTGATCCGATTTTGAAAGATCCGACAGAAAAATATTAAAAATAAATTAAGCCAGCGTTAGAGAATTCAAAATCAATAGTAAATCCAATACAAGAGAAATACCTCAATATCATGAACTCACAGACTCCTAAATTATTGCTTTGATTAAGCTACACAAACCGGATCACCCAATAAGACCTGTAGTTTCTTTTTATACAGCTCCGTTATATAAACTTTAAAAAAACTGTTAGAGATTATTTTAGAACATACTAAATTTTCACCTAAATTTACCATAAAAAATACAATAGAACTAGTTAATAAAATACAAAATTTTCAATTACCTAACAACTCCAGATTAATTTCATTTGACGTAAAAAATCTTTTTCCTAGTATCCCTCCTACAGACACTTTTATCCTAGTAAAAAACCTTTTAGACCAAACTAGTACAAATCCAATAATTACATCTTCTTGAAGTTTGCATCAACCAGGAATACTTTGAATTTAATAATCAAATATATGCAAATAACAGTGCAGGACTTATAATGGGCAATTCTTTAAGCCCATTGCTATCAGATATTTTTCTGGATCATCTATAGAGACAAAGATTTCAAAACATCCGTATTTAAACAGTTTGTATATTGGTGGAGATACGTAGATGATGTACTGGTATGTTTCACAGGAACTAACGGGCAACTCGACCAATTTTTATCGTATAATAATTCACTTCATAGTCATATTGAATTTACAATAGAAACAGAACAAAATCAATCCATAAATTTTTTAGATTTAAAAATTATCAGACTTAAAAACAAACATGACTTCTCCATATTTCATAAACCTACCCATACTGACACGACTATACACCATTCATCATCCTACCCAACACAACATAAACCCGCAGACTATCATAGTATGTTACTTAGATTAACAGAAATTCCGATAAACAACGGATACAACGAACAAACAATTAATAAATTGGTAAATCAAAAACTACACAAGAAAGCCCTGAAAGTAGTATTTCCACCACCAGAGAATAAACCCAGTGTTTCCTTCTGTTCGATTACATATACAGGCAAAATTTCAACAACAATAGCCAAACAGATAAAAAAGAAAAGAATAACAACCTAGGCAAACATATTAAAAACAACAAGAGCCAAAATAAAAAAACACTTACACAGTGGTGGGTACAAACTTAAATGTGGCGACTGCCCAAAAACTTACATCGGTCAAACTGGTAGAAACTTTAATAAACGAATGGCAGAACATAAAAGGGCTTTCAATAATAAGAAAACAGATTCTACATACGCACTTCACCTTCTAGATCATCATGATTCTTTTAATTACGAATTTAAAATTCTTCATATTCAAAATAAAGGCCTTTAGCTATCATTGTTAGAATCTATGGAAATCAAAAAATTAAAAACACAGATATAATTCTGAATAGCCAACTTGAGACAAATAGTTCTCCCCTCCTCAACCTATTTTATTAGAGACTATAAAGTGTAAATGAATTTTCATCAAGTAACGGTCGAATCAATAAATTATATATATATATATATATATATATATATATATTATATATATATATATATATATATATATATATATATATATATTTAAAACTTTTTAAAAACTTTAGTGCATTGGAAATATATTTGAGACGTCAAAAAAAAAAAAGAAATACTGTTTTAATACTACATATTGATAAATATTAAACTAGTTTAAAGAAAAAAACAACACCAACTACTTTATCATTAATTTACCAGCATTTTTAAAGTTTTATTGTTAATAATCTGTTAAACTAACCTATAAAAATGAACCCCAAACACAATAATATAATACTTTTAACCTCCATAATATCACAATCACCTTGTGACCACGAACGCATGTGTTACATACATATATACTATGTAAGGTAAAGAAATGTGGAATTTCCGTTTCACTGGTAATTCCCAATTATAAAATATAGTTTATAAAGTATAGTATAAGTTGTAGTTGCAGCACTTTTAGACCAGGCGGTATCTGTTGTGACTTGAGTAAATCGTATATGATCCTAATTTTTTTTAATCTCTTCGAAAAATTGTTAGAAATAATGATTTCACTACGCGAACACTAAAAAGTTTGGTTTAATTTTTTATTAAACTTTCTGTGAAATAATTGGAAAAATTCAATTTTTTTCTCCTTTTCTTTGCTATGTCTCTGAAGCTATGCATTTTAGAAAAAAATTGGAAAAAAAGTTTTACAATTAACCCATTCATCGGTCGCATGTGTATCAAAATGATACAAGCTCACCAATTTTCAATGCTATTATTGAACCTTAAGGTGGTAAGTCACAATGTTAAAATTTATATACTTTTTAGGTATAGTTATCGTCACTATTTCAAAACAAATCTTCAACTTATGATTATAATATACGTAAACTGTAAACTTTCTATTTTAATGATATCTAGTTAACATTTCCAAAAACAGCAGTATTTTTTTCATAACTGTACTTAAATGAGTCCATGTCATAACTTACGTGGTAACGTGCCTAAAAATTGGTATTGTGAAATAATTATTGAAATTAGGTACAAAATAACTACGTTAAATGATTAACTATCCAAAAAACCTTTATTTTAAGCAAATGTTTGTTATCCATACTGCCGTAATTTTTAAATTAGCTGTACCTAAAGATATAATTACAATTAAAAGCTGCAAACTAGGGATTTTGTTGCTGTTACCGTAATAAGTTGGCATTTTGATAGTGAGAAATTAGTTCAGCTATCACTTAATAGACGAGAAAATAAGTTCACGTGACTTAGAGTTTTCCCTTAGGCAAAACTATTTTTAAAAAATAAATACTTTATTAATTGATGACAAAATACGAAAAAAGATCGGACAATTTTTATATAAAGTTATAATGTTCTTTCTTTGAAGTTTATAAACAGACTAAAATATATCTAATTAAAAACGCAATGGTAAAAATGTAAATCTAAGTAATTATAAAAATGTAAATTAATCTTATTGAAAAGTTCATTAAAACACAAATCCTAGATCATCATTCTTAGGTGGATGACTGGAACAGGGCCGGCTTCCATAACTCCTCCCTTGCGAGTTCTTGGCATATTTCATGGAGTGAAAAATGCCCTTGGATTTGGCACAGGAACTGTGGGGTCATCTTCTTCCATGGGTGGTTCATTGTACGTTGGATGTGGATTTTCTTTTGTTCTTAACTTCTTAATATAATGAATGGCTATGAAGATGATAGTAATTATTATTAATATATATATATATATATATATATATATATATATATATATATATTATGATAGTCCAATGGTTTGTGGAACGCTTCTTTAGATGCTGGAGTAACACAGGTTGAATTTGAATTTGATTTCTTTGGATTGTGTGAATTTTGTCGAGAGGGATATCCTTTAAAACAATTTCTGGGACTTCTTCTTCTTCTTGAGCATTGGAAACTCTTAACTCAGGTAAGAGAAGTGGTTGGCCTTGGACAACTGTCTTCTTATTAATAAACGTTTTCTTATCTACTTTGAATTGGCATTGGTAAGGAATGAAAACTAGAAAATTTCCTTTTAATATGGTAAAATCGGTTTTCTGACATATCGTCTCGATTTTAGTTTGGTTTACGAAGATGGCAATGTAATGTGAATCATCAATTTGTTGTATTACATTCTCAGATATTCGGACGGGAGTTCTGCGGCAAGTTGTGGAACTGGTCTTCAGTTGCAATAATTGAAAGACACAATCTTCTTTCTCTACTCCAGCAGAGAAATCGCCATCAGTACAATAGAAATTGGGCTTCAGGTCCAGACAGGGCAGTGAGTGATATTGGTAAGAATTTTCATTCATGGTCAGAAAGGTATTTCGAGGTACAATGGTACTGTGATTTGATGTAGGAATTGAATAAAGATGATAATAGGAGAATATTTCTGGGTAAACAATAGGAAAGTGGAAAGTAATAGGCTTCTGTTTTTAAAATATCATAATATTTATAAGTATTATTAAAATTTGGAAAAAGTACTTCATTTTTTGTATGGTATTTTAAAATAATCTCTATGATAGAATTTAACTCATTTTTTATGAATAATGCTATTATGTAAAATTCCAAGTCGAGCAAAAGTAACGGCATTTTCTATTTCATCTAAAAGTTGTAAAATAATGTTTAAGCTTAAGTTTAACTGATCTAATATATTTCTAGTCTGCAAATAGTCATTGAAATCAAATATAAATTTATTTAAAGATGTGCGTGTCTTATCTATACCCATAAAAATAGTTTCTTCTAGCAAAATATTTCATGTATCTTCTGTAGAATCCAAGTAATCCAAGAAAAGATTTTATTTCTTTAGCTGTTTTTGGTAATGGGTACTTATTGATAGCTGCGATCTTATCGGGGTTAGGCTTAATACCTTCAGGTGTCACAATGTGTCCTAAATAAGTAACTTCCTTTTTTAGGAACTCACGTTTATCCAGTTGAATTTTAAAATTTGTCTCTTTTAGTCTTTTGAATACTTTATCCAAATTCACAATGTGTTCTTGCAACGACGTAGAAAATACTATGATGTCGTCTAAATAAACTAAACATATCTCATTTTGTAATCCTCTCATAATGTCGTCAATTACTCTCTGAAAAGTTGCTGGGCTATTCTTTAATCCCATTGGCATTCGAACATATTCATGGTGTCCGTTCTCTACGGTAAAAGCTGTTTTCTGGATATCTTCAGGTTTCATTTCGATTTGGTAGAAACCACTAGCTAAATCTAAAGTTGTAAAGTAGTTACATCTGCCTAATTCATCCAAAACATCGGTAAAATTCGGGATGGGATAGCGGTCGTCTATCGTTTTTTCGTTGAGCTTGCGGTAGTCCACTACGATTCTGAATTTCTTTTTACCGGAAGCGTCCGCTTTTTTTGGTACTATCCAAATATTCGACGACCAAGGCGAATTGCTCGGCCTAATAATTCCTTGGTCCAACATGGATTGTATTTGTCTCTGTACTTCTGTTTTATATACAAATGGATAACGGTATGACTTAGAATAAATGGGCATTTCGTTAGTAGTTTTTATGGAATGTTTCATTTGGTTAGTAAAAGTAAGTGGTTCACCTTCTCTGTGAAATATTGTAGAATATTTTCTACACAGTTTTATAATTTGTGCCTTCTCTTCGGAATTGAGATGGCCAGTTCGAATAAGCTTGTCAATATCTACTTTGTCGGTATTTTCGTCTGGTATAATGTCGGCATAAAATAGGTCGTAAGAATTATATTCAAAAGGTACAGTTTGGAGAGGTTCAGAAAGAGAGAAAATAATTTCGTCATCAGTATTATTACGTATTTCAACTATAGCATTGCCATTTTGAGCTTCAGAAAGTATAGAAGGGATTTCGCAATTTTTTATGAATTGTCTGGCAATCAAGATATCGCCGGATTTTTGACAGACAGGAATATTGGTTACAATACGACTATGGGAATCGAATTTCCTTTTAAAAATAGCTGGATTACTTTCCAAATAATGTATTGACAAAGTTGTCTCGGGTGTAATTAATTTCGAATTTGCAAAATCTAATGGGCTTGTAACATTTTTAAGGTGTCTATTTAAGGTGTCTAAGGTATCTAAGGTATCTATCCTCTAAAAGGCCATCAAAGATATCATGGAAAGCGAAAAGGTGGAATTTAAAATCACCAGATTTATTAAATTCATCAAATATGGGGATCATTGCACAATTTTGTTGAGTTGATGTTTGAAATGCTGCCGATATAGTGAAAGGTTCCCTAAATATTTTATTTTTATAGAATTTTTGGGCAATTTCAGGCTTTAAAAAGGACTTAGTCGCTCCAGTATCAATCAATAAAATAATGGGTGGATTAGAAATTTTGAGATAGGGTAATTCTTTTTTATCAGACGAAATGTTAAGTTCTATCAAGGGGTTTCGTTGGTCAGGTCGGTTTCGTGAAAATTTTGAGAATCGTCATCATTTACATATTGATAGTTGTCAAAAAATTCATCTGAATTATAAAAATTTTGATTATCTTCTTCCTCAGGTATTACCTCTGTGTTAAATAACTCTTCATGATAGAAATTTGGATTTTGGCCTGTGCTTTTAAAATGATTATAATTTTGTCGGAAGTGTGGTGCTGTATTTCGTGTAGAAATACTCATAGGAGTAGGTTTAGTCTGATTATTATTTGGATTGGGCTTCCAAACATTTTTCGGTTTACCGAAAACTTGAGAATTTGTAAAATATTTGGTTTGAGGTGGATTGGGGTGTCTTGGAAGTTGTACAGGACCTCTGGGAAATTGAGATCGGTAGTCAACTGTCTGAGTTATATCTGGTTGAAAGTTAGATGTAGAAGGTTGGCTCATTCTTGGCTGAGAATATTGTATATTTGACTGTCGAATTGATCGAAAATGATTGACATTTGGATTAGTTGGTTTTCGAATAAAATTATTATTATTATTAGAATTATTGTGATATAAAGTTTGATTTTTCTGATAATACTTAATATTATCCTCCTCTCTAATAAACTGAATCGCTTGCTCTAACGAAACAGGTCGCATTGCACGAATAATGGGCCCTAAAGGCTCCCTAAGACCAGCTACAAATGATTTTAAAGCCTGCTTCGTAAAGAAAGCTCTTTTAGATTCACGTTCCTGATTAACATAGTGTAAATCAATATAATTACAACTAGCATTTAATAAAGTTAAAAGTCTTTCATGAAAAGAATATGGAGATTCATTAGGTTTCTGTTTCATATTTACTAAATCTTGATTCAAGCAATTTTCATTACGATGATCACCAAAATTCTGAATCAAAGTATTTTTTATATCTGGCCAAGTTTTAGCGCCGCTTATGGCTACTATTTCTTCTGCATTGCCTTCTATTTATTAAGAATACCA